CGTCGCCTTGGCAGCACTGTTAGCGTGGCTTTTGAATTAAAAGGAAAAAATTCGTAACATTTTAAGCGCTTGTTATGGAAGACGATTTTCAAATCGAATTCATGTCGCTGCCACTGGAAGATTTGCAGGAACATTATGGAAAACTGTTAGAGCGCTATCGCCAAAGGCGCGATGATGCTGAGGCAGACACCCAGCGTATCTACGAGTTGAAGCGTAATCTGGAAACTGCATATGCCGCCGAAACGTATCTATCGCAAGAAATTGAAGAGTTGATGCAAACGCTGGCATCGATCGAAAAGGAGAACAACGGGCGATCAAAGGCACAAATTGAATTGAAAGATTTACGCCGGCAGCATCACACATTAACAGCAGACTATACCACACTTCAGCAGGACTTTGCCGCGGTGCAGGCAGAAAATGCTGAATTGCGAAAACAATTGGAAACTGTAAAATCGGCAAAAAGGCTGAGTTCCTCTTCGCTCATTGGCGCGGGTACGGAAGAGCTCACAAAGCAAATAGCAACTTTGGAAGGCGAAAATTTTGCTTTGATGCAAAAGTTGAAAGATTTTCAAGATAATATTGTCAAGCAAACTATGACTTTGGCGGAGCGAGAGGTGAGTGTAGCTTGTGCGAAATTTTAAAAAATGTCAATAAACAATGTATTTTTATACCACAGAGTAACATAGAGATTTTACGCGACCAAGTGAACTGCCTGGAGGAGAATTTGCGCTCAAAGCGTGAAGACTTGGATGAAAAGTCTGGCTTACTGGAGAGCACACAAGAACAGCTGGCGGACGCTAATGCACGTTTAGCACTGCTAGAGACAAAACCAGAGGGAGTGGGTAAGCATGCAGAGAGTGCATTCCGTTTCATGACAAGCAAAATTTAGTATCAACTTTTCAAAAGACCGCAAGGGTAACTCACTTTTTGCCGAGGTGGACGACCAACGGCAGGCCATGAAAAAACTACTAGCTACACAAAAGAAAAGTTACATGGACATGAAGAAAATTTTCCATGATAGTCAATCGGAAATTAGGCGCTTAAAGCGGGAAAATATTGCAATGCATACTGAGCTGAGGGAGTGTAGTACCATATTCTGTGCGGCTGATCGTACATATCA